AATAAACGCTTATTGTTATATGCTGCTGAGTTTTGAAATATATTTGTTACATGGCAATTGCTAATTGATACAGAAAGGAAAGGTTTCGTACAGAAGGTTATATTTGGGTTAGATTTTGAAGGATGATTGGGGTTTCACTAGCTGGATAAAGACTTTCAAGGCAGCAGTAACAATGTGATTAGAAACATTAAGAGATGAATTTGTGTGATGTTAGTTTAGTACAATCCATCTTCTGGGGTGATGCAAGGGGTGCTATGAAAAGTGACTGAAATTCGTGTTGCAGAGGAGATGACTGTGAGGATCCAGGAGCTACAGGGTGATACTCTTACCCTTATATTATTCTTGAGAAAGCCAGAGTTTGAAGAGGACAAGTGATTGGCAACTGCTTTAACTGAGAACACATTCAATACACATCCATAAAGAGATAAAAGTTCCTTTCAGACAAAAAGACTAGACTTTTAATAATAAGAATATGTCTTTAAGAGAATATAGAAATGACAATGATCACAAATATTTAGGGGGTTGAGTACGCCTGAGTGTCTTATGAAACAACTGAATCAGATACCTTGTTAATTAGGCTATTTCATGGTTGTATAAGTGAAAAATAATGATATAATAGGGTTTTTTTTTTTAAAGAATATGAGCTCAAAAAGTAACCATTGAAAGTTCTTTCTGAATGTCTTTTGAGTATATCTCTTAACTGTTTTTAGAGTGGAAGAATATCATAGGTGTTAGTTTTCATTTACTTTGAAAAGTTCACTTCTTTTTAAAAGCTAGTTTATTGCACAGATTATATCTGGCCATTTTTCATTTAAAAATATTATTCTAATCCTTAAAGCTGCTACTTCTCATGTCTGCCTCATTGTGATAATGACATCAGGAATTATTTTGAATAACTGGCACAGCCTTGTTAACCTTTAGAAATAGTTTGACTATTTTAATGTAGAAATTTTGCCTGCTAGCTCTTGCTTTTAAACAGAATTTTTATCCTATTTATTTATTACCTTGATGTCACTTTTAATAATATTTCTTTGGATCAAATTCTGCTTAGTGAATTTTCCATTTCATTGGAAACTAGTTTTCATTGATAATTATGAAATTTAGTGCCAGGAATTCCAAAAATAAACCACATGTAAAGAAGAATTACCCAAGTAGGTTATAATTTAGGCAAAATGAGGAAAATGTTACTCTCTAAATTAGAGATTTTTTTATTTATTTAATGGAAAGGTATGGGTTTTCAAGGCAATGGGAAGAAAATAAGATATTTTATAATACAGAGACTTACTTGTAACTAATCAAATATGTCAAACCTTAAAACTTAGGGAAAAAAAAACCATATGTCAGACTCTTAGTGGAAGTAATTGCTACCAATACCACCATTTTACATCAAAAGAAGTCCTTTGCTCGGGATTGTTGGGATGGAAACCACAGAATATTTAAAAGATAATTAGATCAATTTTACAGTTTTAATAAACTTTAAGAAATGTAATTTGTATAAGCATCATAAAATAGACATTTCAGCTTGTATATTTACATGACATTTTAGGAAAACATTATAGCATGATTCTGCTGTGAATTCTCTTGGGTTAATTTTTCTGCTTATTCTCTTGATGCCTAGTTATTACTTAACTATTAAGAAGAATGAGTGGTGGATTGGTACATCTTTTTTCTTCTATTCAGCAAGTATTAATATTTTTAAGTCTACATGTGCCAGACACTAGAAAATAGTGATGAACAAAGCAGATCCCATGCCTTCATGAAATATACATTCTAAAGAAGGAATCAAGTAAAATAATAACAATAATGATAATAACAAAGAAGCATTTTAGTCATTTTAATTATTAGTAGTAATGGTGAGGGTAGTGATGGCAGTGATGCTGATGGTAGATTTATGGAAGGCGAAGGCATGACTGAAGGAAATAATCTCATCAGCTTTGCTCACTATTGCTCATTATACTTTAGCCATACTGGCTTGCTTAATATTCCTTGAGCATATCAAGTGCGTATTCTGGTTTTAGGACCCTTGCAATGGCTGTTTCCTCCCTTTGAAATACTATTCCCCCCACATATATTCCCTCATCTCTTTCTTCTATCACCTTCTCAGCAAGAATTACCCTGGTTACCCAATCTTAAACAGCACCTCTCACACCTTCATCTCCCAATGTGGAGTCCCCCTTACCTTACTCTCCCTCTTTGATCCCTTAGCACTTATCACCTCTAACAGACTATATAATTTTTTTTAATCTGTCTCCTAGTAGAATATAAGCTTGGTATGTTCAAAAATCTTTGTCTCAATTGTTTACTGGATTATTTGTTGTTGTTGCTCAATCCCTAAGTCGTGTCCAACTTCTTGGGATCCGCCCCCCCTTGGCTTTGGACTGCAGCACACCAGGCTCCCCAGTCTTTCACTATCTCAGATTTTGCTCAGATTCATGTCCATTGAGTCGGTGATGCTATCTAACAATCTCGTCCTCCGCTGCCCTCTTCTCCTTTTGCCTAATGCCTGTCACGTGTTATGCAGGCTTCCCAGGTGGCTCAGTGGAAAGAATCCACCTGGCAATTCAGGAGAACCGGGAGATGGGGGTTAATCCCTGGGTCAAGAAGACTCCCTAGAGAAGGAAATGGCAACCCATTCCAGTATTCTTGCCTGAAAAATCCCATGGACAGAGGAGCCTGGTGGGCTACAGTCCATAGGGGTTGCAAAGAGTCAGACATGACTGAGAACACACAGAATATGAAAAATATATTAGAACTGAAAACTAAAATCATTCAAGAACCATAGCACTTTAGAATTGTTCTGCCTCTACCACTCTTCAGCTTCTAGAAGTATTTCCACAACTACACAGGGCACGAATAGATTCTTAACTAAGATCTAGACATTTAAAAGTGATTTAGTTCTATTCAGTATACTAGGTTTAAAAAGGTAATGGCATGTCTAAAATATTTTAGAAAGATTTCTTTGAGAAATTATTAAAGTTTAAGTGGTCTAGGAACCAGGGTACTTTAAACTTCAGTTTATGAGAAATTTTGTTAATTTTAATATCTCATGGCTTAAAGATGCCAGATAAATGAATTTTGCTAGGTCACAAACTTTCAAGCTAAAACTCCATATTCCAACAAAAATGTGAAACACTTTGAATACTGCAAGCAGTTATGTTTACTAACACTGACAATTGAAAAGCAGAAAAATTCTATCTGGAGCTTTCTACTTCCTACATGCAAAAAAAATTTCAAATGACTCAGTCTCAAGAGAGTGAATGGTGACAGACTCTGCAAATTGAAGATAAAACCACAAGTACATGCACTGTGGGAAGCACCCATAGGGTCAGTGGCCTTGCTACTTTTGGCACTGCAAATATTTTGGCTCAAATCCAGCCTCACACTCTGTAATTAGAAAGAACATTGCAGCTTTCAGTCTACAGCCAAGCCACGTATCCTTGTGGTCTGTCTCATGAAGTTTTCATTGCTATTTGCACTGCAATCTCTCATATAGGCCACCGTGGTAGGGAGTATGTACCTCTGTTGATTTTAACAGAGGCAGTAGGAAGAGGAAAGATTGACAGTGCCTTTCAATTAAATAGTCTTATTTCTCCAAAGAGTATCTTTAGAATACCACATACAGGGCATTTCAGTACAAATAAAACTACCCTAATAGATATTTTTAAAATAACGTAATTTCAATAAACACTGATTCTTTAGTTAGGGTCAGTGAGATCCCAGGAAGACCATGAGGGTATTCAAAGGGCTAGTGAGCCTGTTGAAATTATATGCTAGGCTGTGTGTATATACATATTTCCAGGGAAAGAATCCAAAGCTTTCATTCTATTTTTAAAGTATCAGTGATGCTCTCCTCCAAAAAAAAACTTTTTTTTTGGTAGATTAAAAACCATTGTTTTCAACTATAATACAAGTCTAAGAAAATGTCCAGCATTTGTCACATCAGTTTTTTAAGGACAATAGAATCCACCTTTTTCAGCATCACTCTTTGTCTGACTCATCTTCTAGTTAAGTATTAGCCAGATAGCCTCGGCCTTAAAACCAGTTTTAGACAATGAAGAAATTACAGGTTTTGGAAATAGCCTATTTGGAGTCACATCCTGGCTCAGCCACTAACTGGGTAGATGAGCTTAGTTAAATGAGTTAACCTCTCAGAGCCTCAGTTTCCTTACCTGAAAAATGGGGTCAATCCTAGTACTTGCCTCACAGGGATGAAGTCCTGGTCGAGGAGATCATGGAAGTGAGGTGCTTCACATAATTCCAGATTCTGATTCTTTCTACAACTACCTCATCAGCTTTACTTTTGATGTGCTTTAATGATTCACTAATAAAATCCTTAATTTTGAATATTTTTATAATACAAATGGGGCTTCCCTGTTGGTTCAGTGGTAAAGAATCTGCCTGCAATGCAGGAGATCCAGGTTCGATCCCTGGGTCAGGAAGAGCCCCTGGATGAAGGCATGGCAACCCACTCTAGTACTGTTGCCTAGAGAATCCCAGGGACAGAGGAGCCTGGCATGGGACAGTCCATAGGGTTGCATAAAGAGTCAGACATGACTGAAGCGATTAAGCAGCAGCATAATACAAATATCTTTTCATTACAGTAAAAATAATCACATTTTCACTGACCTGTATCAATCATTATCAGTATTTAAACTTTAGACACCAGCATTGTGATGCTTTATGGTTGAATTCATTGTTTTGCTAAAAATTGAGTATGTGTGCATTTTCACATTGTGATGTTTTCAATTCCAGGATTCAAGAGAAAAAATCTAAACTGTTCATTAAGGTAAAACAAACCATGAAAACATTATACCAATTTTTAGACCACAATATGAAATTTTAAAATATTTGAATAAACATAAATAGATATATTGAGTTTATTTGCCAAGGAACCATAAAACGCATATAGTTTTATGGGCTAGTCCTCTTTCTGGAGGAGGGTTAAAAGCTGTTAAGAAAATGAACAAATTTAATTGAAATGTTGTTCTTTTTTCCCACAGCTCTTGTAGTGAGATTTTTGACCAAACGGTTCATCTGGGAATATGATCCCACCCTCGGTAGGTCAAATTTTGTTTCATCCTCCTCTCCAATCAAAGTTTTGACCTAAAAGAGAAAATGACATTTTCTGTTGCAACATTTTTAAGCATCTTGCAGCTGTTTGAGAAGTGCTTTATCAAGTCACACAAAGGGCCCTGTAAGAAGATGGATGTGTGTTGTATGCTGTCTGTGCTTAGAACTCTGCAGGATTTTAATGCATAGATGAAGAAATCTGGTCAAACCTGAGACAAGAAGGAAGTGGGTACAACGTGATGCTCTTCCATCAGGAAATGTAGCATCATTCTAGTGGGAGAAAGAGGATGCAATGGATGTGGCTAATTGGGTCTGGGAGAGAAGGACATGGGGAGAAGAGACTAATAGTAATATAAAGCTTGTGAATGCTCATTTTGGTAAAATGTATAAGTAAACCATGTTTTTCCCCCCTCTTCTCTCCAATGATCCAATTTAAGCCTATTTAAAATATAAAAAAGAAGCAAAAGTTGATATCTGTAAATCTTGAAAGTAGCAATAATATTGATGGATGAAGTATTCATCAACTGTACTTTTTTTTAGTCCAGAGCAGAGTCCTTATTGGTTCTCTTATTTAGTTCTCATCTTCAAAATAACACTGAAAATCCATGGGTTTCAAATTGAGCTAAAGTTTGACTCTGAATTAAGCCTTTGAATTTTTGTTTGTTATGATTTGGGACCCTAGCTGGTTTTGTAAAGGTCAACATCGTTGAAATCCAGAGGAAGTAGGAAAGGCATACATCATTTTATTACCAAGCACAGTGTCCCAGACCAAGCTGGCCTCACGCAGAATGATGAAATGGGCAAAGACTTTTCCCAGTTTCTTTTCTGTTTTTGTGTTTGTTACTACAAGTTTACACCATCCGGCTTAAAAGGAGGCTTTCTTTGCCCTGTGAGCTCCTTTCGTTGCTTTTACTCATCCCACAAATGTGTATTAAATGCCTCCTATGAGTTAAATGATCCGAGGTGCTGAGGATAAACCAATAGGCAGAAGGGGAAAGCATGGGCTTTGTTAAACTTACAGTATAGTGAAGAGAGAAGAGCCAGTAAACAAATCTATGTCAAACAGTGATAAGCACCATGAAGGGAAACTGAGCAGGAGAGGGGCTAGAGAGTGATCTTATATTTTATCTAATTTCTAACCTTTTAATCTATAGAATTTATTGTGGTGAGAAGTACAAGGTGAAGAGGCAACATTTTCCCCAAAGAGTTGATCAACTGTCCTCATATGACTTACTAAATTATCTCCACTTTCCCCACTACTTTCAATGCTGCCTTTTAAAAATACATGGAATCATGTACACAAGGACGCAATTCTAGGTTTGCTTTTCACGTCCAATGCCAGTACCACACTCTTTTGATAATTGTATGTTCCTTAGGACATGTTGATACTAAGTAGAGAAAGCCTTTCTTCTTTACTTTTTAACAAAATTATCTGGACTCCTATCTCTAGTTTATTCTTCCAGGTCAATTTTTGAAACTATATCATAGCATGAAATAATTTCGATTGGAATTGCATTAAAATTGTACATTCCTTTGAGAAGATTCACAGCTTTATGATATTCATTCTTTTAATCTAAGAGAATAGCATGTCTCTACATTTATTAGTCTTCTCTGGTTTTGCTTTTAAATAAGGGGTTTTTCAACATCAATAATTTTTGACATGGTTTTAATATAGCCACAGTTTAAGCTTAAGAGGATATATTTGTATCTAAAACATTGTACTTGGTTTGAAAAAAATCATTATCTGTTGTTTACCCCATCTATGTAAATGCTTACTCTCCTCTTATAATTTAATTACTTATATAAAAATAAGCTTTATAAAGATTATAGCCCCTGAGAACCTTAATTTATGGGAGTTTAATAGAAAAATACTAATTTTATTTATCTATACCAGTACAACTCAACAAAAGATGAAGCTTCTAAAAGATGATCTTAAAAATTTTTGAATGCTGTCTGAGATTTGTTCCAGTAACTAATGTTGCTTTTTAATTAGTCTTAGGTCAACCATTTTCCCTTTGGTTTTATTCCTTCTGAAAAACAAATGCTATTAATAGAAATCTCCTGCACCAGTTATTTGTACCATGGGCTTCCTTGACTATGAATAATGAAACTTTATTGAGTGACCTTGTACTGTTCTGCTCCACAAGAATTGCAGCTGCTAGGCAACAAGGGGGCTCATCTGACTTCAGGCGTATCAGATAGATGACTCACTCCCAGGTGAGGCTTTCATTCAGTCACCCTGGAAACTGGATGTGTGTGTGTGTGTATGTGTACACTCATATACAAGAAGTCACTAATGTTCTAGCCTAGAGGAGTTCCAATCCATTTGATTCAAGATGAACCAAGCATTTCCTGGGCATGCGTGCATATGTGCTATTTCGCATCTTGTCATGTCCTGCTCTTTTCAGCGTTATGGACTGTAGCCTGCCAGGTTCCTCTGTTCATGGGATTTCCCAGGGAAGAATACTGGAGTGGGTTGCCATGCCCTCCTTCAGGGCATCTTATGGACCCAGGGATCAAACCTGAGTCTCTTGTATCTCCTGCATAGGCAGGCAGGTTCTCTACCATTATTGCCACCTGGAAAGCCCTTCCTGGGCATAACTTCATACTATTAGAGAGCTTCAAGACCACCACCCAAAAGGAAAGCTACCTTTGAAAGCAAAGTAGCTTATTTGTAAAAAACAGATTTGAATTCTGAATCCAGAGCCGTCCTCAAAAGCATGGTGCTGTTTTTCAACCTGTAACAGAATTTTTGCTCCATGAGAAACTGAAGACTGTGAACATCCTTCAGCATATCAACAGCCCTGGAATATCTATTGCTCTGAGATAATTCTGTAAAGAAATTGTTTGCTAGTACAAGCACAAGTGATTTTTAAACTTTTAGATTTTGGTGGTTTTTTTTTTTTTTTTTTTTTTAAGGAGAGGAACTATCATAGGAATTCCAATTACAGATGGAGGGCTCAGAAGGTGAGGGAGAATTAAAAATTCTAGTGGCACTTCCATTTTCGTATAAGAAGGAACTATTGTTAACATCCACGTGTTTTGAAGGATATAATCTAAGGGAAAAAAATCAGCCCTTGACTTTGGACAATGTTATTTTTCTTTAAATTTTTCTCATTTCACCATGGACCAGTGAAATCTTTGTCAGAGGTCAGAAGTGGTCTGTGAATTGCATTTAGAAACTACTCATTCCCAGGTGGTGCTAAAGAATCCGCCTGCCAGTACAGGAGACGCCAGAGACTCCAATTTGATCCCTGCATTGGGAAGATCCCCTGGAGAAGGAAATGGCAACTCACTCCAGCATTCTAACATGGGAAATCCCATAGACAGAGAGGAGTCAGACATGACTAAGCACATACGCACACACACAGGCACGCAGACACACAGACACACATACACTGAAGCCTACAGAATTTGGGATTGGACCATCTAACCAAGACAACTCCCTGCGCGATGGAAGTGGCAGCAGTTTCCTGGGTGTGGGACAGCTTCCGTGTCCCGTTTAGATTCCAAAAAAGAACTGAGTCTCTACCTCCCAGAGTCATACTACCTTCAGAAAATGCTGATCGTGGTAGAGAATACAGACGAAGACTTAGATTGTGTACAGTTGTGGTGTGTTTGTGTGCTTGTGGGTGCGTGCACACCTGTGTGTGTTGGGGGCAGTTGGAGAGAGAGAGGGAAACTATTACTACTTAGGAGGCACCGCACTCTGTCTGAATGGATTAAGGCTCAGACACAAATGAAAGTAGGAAGTGGGAGACATACTGGACCCACTGGTGCTCTGATTTTGTGACTGGTTCTCCCTACCTGAATTACAGTTCCCTCTGATTGGAAAAACTCATACTAAGAAAGAGACACGCTCAGAACAAATTGTCTCAACTGGATACTAAAGCAGAGGTGCTTAGCCAACTCGCAGAACTGATTCATATTGGCACAGCAAGGAACTTTGAGATCGTCGTTTATGCAAATAAGAAAACAAGTCCAACGAAGTCAGTTTATCCAAGATTACATGGCTATTTTGTGGTTAGATCAGCAGTAGAACTCCAGTTAGTACAATTCCCACTCTAGCACAAATCAACATTACTAACTGTTGTTGTTGTTGCACTAGCCAAATGTCCATATTATTATGCTGAAATTTGCAAAAGAGCTAAATTAGTAAAAGGATTAATGGTATGAAACATTCCTCTGAGCATCAATTTCTCTTAGTATGCAAAATATACTTCAGCTTATAAAATGATATGGAATGCAGGTTTTCAATCATGTATCTCTCATATACAGTGAACTTGAGATACATATTTAATATGCCTCATTCCATCTTGGATTTCCCTGGTGGCTCAGTCAGTAAAGAATCCACCTGCAATGCAGGAGACCCGGATTCAATCCCTGCGTCAGGAAGAACCCCTGGAGGAGAAAATGGCGACCTACTCCGGTATTCTTGCCTGGAGAATCCCGTGGAGAGAGGAGCCTGGTGGGCTACAGTCCAGGGGTCACAAAAAATCGATCACAACTAAATTACTACCACCAGCAGCAGCACAATTCCATCTTGAAACTAATGTTGATCTTGTTCAGCCACCAAGTCGTGTCTGACTCTGCAACCCCATGGACTGCAGCACACCAGTCTTCCCTGTCCCTCACCATCTCCTGGAGTTTACCCAAGTTCATGTCCATTGAATTGGTGATGCCAACTATTGATCTTACAGTATCCAATATTTGGTTCATTTTGAAGTACCTCTTAAACAATCATCCCCTTACCCGTCAAGAAAAAAGACTAAAATGATCATTTTTTTGTGAGTATGAATGAAAAGTATTTCCATTCTCCATATTTTCTTAACTTCCTTAACAAAAACTTACACATTTTTTCTTAACTTCCAGAAGGAATAGTAGAGTTTCATTCCATTCTAACAGTACTTAGTGCATTTTTTTAGAATTATCCTCAGAAAAGCTAGCACACCGATGTACATTTTGCCTCTGTAAGCAGTATTTCCACTGTTTTACATGTAGCCATGAGTTCCTAATGAGAAAGAGAGAAGGGACTTAAAGAAAATATTCTTCCAATGGCGTGAAACCAGTGTTCAGCTTAGATGAAATCACTGCTGCCTCCCGCTGCTGTCTGTGGCCGACATTCCCTCATTTCCTGCCTTTCATCGTTTTCATTTCAGTTAACAAATAGCCAAAGAATCACACAACTTCATACCGTTTTCTTTATATTTTATTTCCCCCCTACTGTGGCCTTCTGTGGTTGAAATACATATTCTATTTAGCATAGAGGCAACTCAGAAAAATGTCCCTGTCTGTCAGACAACTTGTGGTGCAAAGAGATGGACTAAAGCCCAGAACTCTGTTTTCCAGGCTCCAGGGCTGATGCCAGTCCTTTAAAAGGGAAAGCAGCACAAAGGTCATGGCAGAACGGTGGAGAGAGAAACAAAAAGGGCATGGATCCTAGCGTGTGCAGTGCCCTCTGGGCTTGTCCTCTTCAGACTGGAGCCCAGGAGATGAAAAGTAAACAATTGACACAGCACTTAGAAATGAGTAGTGGCTGTCAATGGTATTTTAGAGCATTTAATTATATAAAACAATCATCTCCCATTTAACGTAACAGAGGGGGATGGAATGATCTAGAATTGAGAATCATACATACCCTGTAAGGATTACGTATTACAGGAGAATGATGATAATGTAAAATACACTTATTAAAATACATTGAACATAATATCATTGTCATTTTGTTAAAATTGACAGTGACTTACAAAGTTATATTAGTTTCAGGTGTACAACATAGTGATGTGATATTTTATAGATTACACACTATATAAAGTTATTATAAAATATTGGTTATAGTCTCTATGCTGTATAGTTATTTGCAATAGCCAAAATAAAGAAGCAACCTAAATGTCCACTGATAGATGAATGGATAAAGAAGATGTGAGATATATACATATACACATTGCAGGCAGTGGAATATTGGTCAGCCATGAAAAACGAATTGAATCTTGCCATTTGCCACATCGATAGACCTACTCAATGAAGTAAGTTAGATAGGGACAAATACTATCACTTACATGTGGAGTCTAAAAAAAATAAAACAAACATAACCTCATTTTAAACTTTTATTTTTCAGAAAATACATCTGCAATGTGTCCTGTCTTTGTGAATGGTTATCACATAGGACTGATGGCTAGGTTACACTGCTCAGCTAAGCTTCCTTTCTGTGGTTTGTATTTTGAGTAGGAGATTAGATTTACAGCAAAGTAACATAAAACTGTGGTCAAGAAAGAACTGTAAGATAGCTGATGAAGAAATGAAAGAAACATGAGATAGATAATAGATAATAGGTAGGTAGATAGATTAGAGGAAAAAATAAAAGCAACGGCTTACCAGTTACCCTGGTAGGAAAGAAATTTCTATGTTTATTTAGTTGATTGACTGGTTAGTAACTTGAGTACTTCAGAGACAAATAATTGAGTTAATACTTAAGTCAATCATGCTGCTCTATACCTAGCACCATGTCATGTGTATGTGAAGGCTATTTCTTCACTTTATTTTTCCTGCATCCCCTATTCTGACACCATTGCCTTCCTCTATGCCCAGAGGCATATAATCTAAATGCGGTTGATACTTAGCACAGTGTTTCAAAGTCTAAATTCCCAAAGCCAGTCTTCTGAGCTCCAGTCGTAACTGTACCATTTACCACTTAACATCTGTGTGACCTTCAGCAACTTATTAAACATTTCTGTACCTCAGTTTCTTCACATAAAATAGATCTGATAGTATTACATACTTCATGAAATATTTCTAAGGAATAAATAAGTTAACATGAGTAAGGCATTTAGAATAATTTGTGTTCAAAGGGTAAGCAGTATGTGTTAGTTATTACATAGTTTTGAAAAAAATTCTATATATACACGTATTTTAAATTTGTATACATTTTATCATGCTATAGATCTACCTATAGAGGTACTCAAGTGATTTTTATTTAGTTCTTTAATTTGTTAATTGCACTGATGGTTATAAACACTTTGCATTCCTGAAATAAACTCTACTATTTTATGATCTATTTTTCTTATTATACTGTTGGATTCAACTGGATATTACTTTTTTAGAATTTTTGAATCTATCTTCAAAAATGAACCTACATTTTTTTTCTTTTTCTCTTGTTATTAGTTTTCTAATATTTCTTGTTGGAATTCATGTAGTGGGTAGCTATCCTTTTTTTTTTCTTACCCCTAGAACAACTTGTTTAATATTTAATAGAAATCTATAAAGCCAATTAGGAAGTCATTTTTTCTCATAAGAAATCTACAGTTAAAATTTAAATTTCACAGGCCATTGACCTAGTTAAGCATCTTATTTCTCATTGTACCGATCTGTGCATTTTTTCCTCAAAGAATTAATCAGGCTTTAAAATTTGTTTGGTATACAGTTCACAACATTATTTTATTTCTATTTCATCAGAATGTGTAAATACTTCCTGCTTTATGCGTATTTTTTTGTTGGATTGCGCCTTCTCTCTTAATTCACTAGTTAGTTTTCTCTGCTCTTTACCTCTCCCCCACCTGCTTTTAAATTTTCCAAGTGTCATGCTTTGCATTTGTTAACCTTATCTAATTTTTTCTGCTATTTTCTTTTACTTTTCTCATATCTTCTTGGATTTGCTTTGTTTTCCTCTTCTAATCGTTGAGTTGAATAATCTGTTCACTTTTTTCTGTTCTAAATACCTTTTTATTATATCATCTTTTGGAATAATACCAGTACATTAACTCCCTCAAACCTGCCTCTGGTCTCTTCCCGCATCTCCACCCTGATATTTTGGTGTTCCCTAGACTTGTGGTTCTGAATTGCTTCTGGTTTAGTTTTGTTGCTGTGCTTGATTCCTTTAGGATCTTGAATTCTGTTTTGCTGATGAGAAGTCCAGTGTCAGTCTGAGTCACATGCTTTTGTAGGTGATGGACTTTTTTTCCTTTAGATCTTTTAAAATTTTCCTCTGTCACTGATATCTTTACGTCTTGTTGTAATAGGTTGAAATTGGGGCTTTTCCCCTTATGTGTCCTGTCAGTCCTTTTTTAAAACTTTTATTTATTGAAGTATAGTCAATTTCCAATGTTGTGTTAATTTCTGCTGTCTGGCAAAGTGATTCAGTTATACATATGTAAACATTCTTTTTCATATTCTTTTCCCATTATGGTTTATCACAGAATATTGACTATAGTTCCCTGTGCTATACAGTAGAACCCTGTTGTTTATCTGTTCTATACTAATAGTCCTTTTAATGTGAAGTCGTTCAATGGCTCTAGGCCTGGGAAATTCTGTTACTACAGCCTCAGCTTCAACTCTTTTCCACTCTTCTATGTATTTTATTCTCTCTTTGAGGCTCATTTTATAGGAGAAAATAACATGTTTGTTTCTATTATCCATGCCTCTTATATTTTGCTTTCATATTTTCCTTCTTTTTATCACTTACTAGTGCTTTCTGGAAGAATGTTTCAACCTGAACTTCATCAACTCAGTCAATCATGTATTGAGTGCTTGATGTCATTTGTTTCATTTTCATATAGAGCAACACCATTTAGTGTTCTTGCCTGGAGAATCCCAGGGACGGGTAAGCCTGGTGGGCTGCCGTCTATGGGGTCGCACAGAGTCGGACACGACTGACGCGACTTAGCAGCAGCAGCAGCAGCAGCACCAGCACCATTTTAATGCCTGGTTCTCGTTTCACGTCAGAACACTCAGAGCCACCTAGTGGTTGTATTTTTCCTGACTTCTCCTGACCCCAGCAGAGCTTGAAGATGACTCTGATGTTATCTTGAAGTGAAAGTGTTAGTCTCAGTCGTGCCAGACTCTTTGCAACCTCTACAGACTCAATAGCCCAGTCGTGCCAGACTCTTTGCAACCTCTACAGACTCAATAGCCCTCCAGGCTTCTCTGTCCATGGAATTCTCCAGGCAAGAATACTGGAGTGTGGAGCCCTTCCCTTCTCCAGGTGATCTTCCCAACCCAGGGATCGAACACAGGTATCCCGCATTGAAGGCAGATTCTTCACTGTCTGAGTCACCGGCCTCCAACTGGTACTAAGCAACCTCTTCTGCCTCTGAATTTTTCTCTCTCCCTCAGTCCTGCTCTACTGTGGGTGACCGTTCCTTACAAGCCCTGAACACCCGGGTCCAACCACCTTCTACCACCCCAAGGGTTCCTCCTAGCTTTCCACAGTCATTTTTTACACGAATAGCGATCTGCCTCCCTCTAATGTTTAATACATTCCTAGAGTGGGGGTCTAGATGGAAGTGAGCAGCTCCTGTGTGCCTGCCATCTTGTCAGGAACAGGAATTAACATGATTCCTTAAACTGTATTTTTAGGAATCTCAAGGTAGAATGCCCTTGTGGGAATCTCTTTCTCTTTTTAGGATGTGGAAGCCTCCTTTTAGAGAGAAAAGAGTATTAGAAGGCTTGCCTCACAGGAGAATAAAATAATAGAAAAAGGGAATCTCCCATGCCATATCCTGAGCATCTGTGGATCCCACATTAGAACCTGTTACTCCCAAGAACTTAAGAGTATAAAAATGGCACCTTCTTCCACCCCTTAGGCTGCATGTTATTCTAATGCTCTGCAAACAGGTATACACTGGAGACTAACTTATAATTTCAAGGGTCAAATCTAATTATGTGTTTATTTACCATTTTACCTTCGTTTTGCTCATTCCCTCAGAATCAACCTACCGACACCAAGCAACCATTGATGATGAAGTTGTCACCATGGAGATACTAGATACTGCTGGGCAGGTGAAAAAGGAATTCAGCTCTAATATTTCTGGATAAATAAAAATGAGATGTGCATAATATGAACAGAATTAAGACACTTTTCTATGGTTAACATAATGATGCCTAAAGACTTGATTATCTAGTTATGCTTTATATCAGTTTATTTGCAATAGCTTATATATGTGTCCTTATATAAATTACTCAGTGCTCCAAGAGGATTTTGAAAATACCTTAACATTCATATGCTATCATCTAAAGTAGAATTTCTCACCTCTATTATGGGGAGATCACAGGATATTAATATTAGATTTTCAGGGTTAAATGTGTTTTGAAATACTCTGGTCAAGTTAAATATATATCTTTACTGGAGAAGTTCTCAGTACCTTTAATATGCTTATATATATAATTTGAATCTTAAAGAAATCTACAATATTTATATTCTCGACTTATATAACCTTAGAATCTTTTTTCAGAATACTTTATTTTAGGAATCTTTTCTGTAATATTCTTTCTAAACCTCATCACATCAGATTAAAAACTTGAGCCACATCATTGAATGCTAACAACTTATTTTAAAATGAAACTGATACACATTTGCTTTGCAGCCAGTCAGTTCTGAAATTATAAACAGTTTATAGGAAGGCTTGTTTCCCAAGAATAGAAAGAAGTGAAAGTGAAAGTCGATCAGTCATGTCTGACTCTTTGCAACTCCATGGACTATACAGTTCATGGAATTCTCCAGGCCAGAATACTAGAGAGGGTAGCCTTTCCTTTCTCCAGGGGTTTTTCCCAACCCAGGGATCGAACCCAGGTCTCCTGCATTGCAGGTAGATTCTTTACCAGCTGAGCTGCAAGGGAAGCCCTCCCAGAATAGGGGTGACCACTAAGAATGAGAGTTAGGAAGCTGAAGGATATGATGTTGCTTTTCACTTACTACTTGATAAAACTATTTAATCCAAGAAATATATTTGTAGCTAGTTATACAGTTTTCCTTCTCATCACTACCTGCTCCCTATATATGCTCTCATCTTCCAGTACTGATTCTAAAGAGAGAGACAGCAGGAAAATACATGCCTGGAGAAGTCATTTGAGCCTATAATGGCAATACATTTTCAAATCACACCTGCTTAAGAATGCTTTCAAATGCTACCTTCTTAAGAAGGAGAGATCACCCCTTTTGAGAATCACTGCAATTGAATTTCTATCATTATTGAGACTGCATAATATAAAAAAGGTGCTGAGATAGAAAATGAAGCCCAAGTCCCCTAGCTTTTACTTTGATTCTATACAATTTTTCACTTTGTGTGTGTGTGTGTGTGTGTGTGGCTAATTGTCTCTAATCTGAAGAAAAGAAGATTAAAAAACCAAACAAAATCAAAACCACTTCACTAAGCCATGCCTCTAATTCCGATCTCAGAGGATGGGGTAAGGTCTACTTGTTTGTTACCTATTGGCCAATTGTTTAATTGTGATGAAAAATCTCAGAGGCAGTGTGCTCAACTAGGAGGATAATTTCTTTATAGCCCTTGCAGTTACACATTTAATGATGTGGCAAGAAAAAGTTAGAAGCACAAAGTTAGGCTGCGTGCAGTTAGAAAATGTTTAGTTCCCTAAGTTATGCTTCTATTCGAAACTGAGAGTCAGCTTGTTCAGGCAGTCTACCAAGAATTTCCAACGCTGCTGAATGTAAGGAATGGTTGTGAAAGGATCACTGTTAGCATTTGCAGCATCTATACACTGCAATTACTTCCAGGTCTCCCGACTGCTGTTTTTTCCCTGCCAACAGGAAGACACCATTCAGAGGGAAGGACACATGCGATGGGGGGAAGGCTTTGTGCTGGTCTATGACATTACTGACCGAGGAAGTTTTGAGGAAGTGCTGCCACTTAAGAACATCCTGGATGAGATCAAAAAGCCCAAGAACGTGACTCTCATCTTGGTTGGAAACAAAGCTGACTTGGACCACTCCAGACAGGTCAGTACAGAAGAAGGGGAGAAGCTGGCCACAGAACTGGCATGTGCTTTTTATGAGTGTTCTGCCTGCACTGGAGAAGGGAACATCACCGAGATATTCTACGAGCTGTGTCGAGAGGTGCGTCGCCGGAGGATGGTCCAGGGCAAGACGAGGCGACGCAGCTCCACCACGCATGTCAAGCAAGCCATTAATAAGATGCTCACCAAAATCAGCAGTTAGGCAGCTCCATCCTTGGGAAGACCCTGCTCAGGTCAGTTTGGGTAATTGGAAATATTTTCTTGCCCTTTTTCTTTCTCCAAAGAAAAGAAGATACTACATTCCTTGTTCTGACTCTGGGAAAAGTTTGGGCTTCCCACTGGTCCCAGCCTTCCGTATGTTGGGAAGTTGCAGAGTGTTTTAATGCAGTTTCAGTGCTGACAATCTCTCTTTTGCCTGCTTGAATAAAACATGCTCTATTGCAGTTTGAACATGTAATCACCAAATTCTAAAATGGCTGGGTTCATATTAAGCTATTTTTAGGCATCTTCACCTTGCTTCCATAGGTTGAAGGCTTCTCAGAAGCATTTTAAATTTTATTCCTTGTCAAAACCTACAAATGATCATCCTAAAAATCTAAGAAAACAGAAAGTACAGGGCTTCCTAGGTGGCGCTAGTGGTAAAGAATCTGCTTGCCAATGCAGGAGACACGTTGGTTCCATCCCTGGATCAGGAAGATCCCCTGGAGAAGGGCATGGCAACCCTCCAATATTCTTGCCTGAGAGAATCCCATGGACAGAGGAGCCGAGTGGGCTACAGTCCATAGGGTCACAAAGAGTCAGACACGATTGAAGCGACTTAGCATGCATGCAAGCAATAGAAAACCCAATGAAAACACAGTAACAGTAGCTGAGACATTGTACTGAAGAATAGAGTCTTAGTGTCTATTTGAAGTGAGGCTTTTCTGAATGATCTTAAACCATCTAGTTTTTCTTTAACCTTTGTCCTGTTGTTAAATTCAAACATGCGCTCACAAAGTTTTCCATTGTCATGGAGAGTTTCATTTCAATTTGAGTTGACTGTCTCCTTGATCTATTTATTGATCATTGCATCCTAATTATTCTTCTGTGATTCCAACAAGACTTAACTATAACAGAGACAGCAGGACCCCTCATTTCAAATCTGCCAGGCCATTTCTCATCAAGCCCAGAGTGAAATAAAGACAAAAGGAATTTTTTTCATCAAACCCTGACTTTATTGAATGCTAATAGAGGATTTAGAATTGGACGTTTATTCGTTTACATTTCTCTCTCTGTTTATCATCTTAGCAGAAAGACAACATTCAAATAAACAGGGGAATTAAAAATGAAGCTTAACTACTCCTCTGTTGGGGAGCCCAGGTTCTGTGACAGGCACAGTAAGAAGAATTAGCCTCTGATTCACTTAAACTGGCTATATGGCTTCTAATATATTGGATAAATTAATTCATTTAGAATTCAGAAAAGAATGAATGATTAGAGCTCACTATACCTGAATAAATGTGTATAAATCAGATTCTTATATTGTGAAACAGTCTATAACTGATAAAGCTTTATGATTCTTTTTTCCCCTATTATGCCCCCATATATTAAGATTTGGGCACTTTATTTTAGAAGAAAATATATATCTTTTACATATGTGTGTATTTATAAATGCATAGATATATGTATAAAACTTTGTAAGAGTTGAAGGCTTTAATTCACCAATGCATTTGGACAACTCGGTGTAATTGACTATTTTATGTGAATATAATAAAAAGCATAATTTTCACATTCTGTCACATTCAGGCAGTTTTTCTTGTGGTAACATGAGAATTTTGCCATTTTAGGAGAGATTTTGGAAGACTATTGGATTGCAGAGTTGATGACTTATTGAATGTGATGCAAAGAAATAAGCACCTATTCATAATAATCGCTACTTTTTTTAAAGTCCTTACATGCTATTGTAGGCCCTTCATGTCTTATCTCATCATATTCTCACAACACCCCTATGCAAGAGATAGTATTATGGTCATAGTTGTAAGGATGAAGATACTGAGCCAAAAGGGAAAATAAGTTTGCAAAGCTATTTAGTGGGTAAAGCTAGGATTTGAACTCAGAGAAGCAAAGTCAGACTGTAAGCCTAGACTGTGATCCACCATAGTGTCTCAGTAGACTTATTCTTGAGTCATCGGTATGAAAAAACAGAAAGGAGAAAATTTAGGGAAGACTTGTTTTATTCATGGGGATTTCCTGGTGGCTCAGTGGTAAATAATCCTCCTGCCAATGCAAGAGACAGGGTTCCATTCCTGGGTCAGGAAGATCCATTGGAGAAGGAAATGGCAACCCATTCCAGTATACTTGCCTGGGAAATCCCATGGAGAGAGGAGCCTGGCAGGCTACAGTCCATGGGATCACAAAAGAGTCAACTAAAAACAACAACTAAACAACAATAACAACTGTTTCAGTTATGCTTTCATTTATTCATGAACAAATATTTACAGATAAACTGGACATGTAACTTGACGCATTAGTTCATCTGATGGATTCTGAGCTGAACCTTGAAGGATACAGTTGACCTTTGAAAAGTGGAGGGGGTCAGAGGTGCCAACTCTTCACACAGTTAAAAACCCATGTGTAACTTTTGACTTCTCCAGAACATAACTACTAATAGCCTACTGTTGACCGGAAGCCTTACCAATAATATAAACTCTCATCTGACACATATTTTGTATGTGTTATGCATTATATATTGTATTCTTACGTAAATTAAGCTAGAGAAAATGTTATTAAGAAAATCATAAGGAAGAGAAAACACAATTACAACACTATACTGTGGTGGGCTACAGTCCACGGAGTCACAAAGTCAGACACAACTGAGCAACTGAACACATATACATGCACTGTGTTTATCAATACTATAAGTTTATGTCATCTGTTTATAAAATGAATCATCTATCAGTACATATAGAAATATAGTCTTATGTGTTATGAAGCACTGTAGATGTTATATGTATTATACTTAATGTCAACAATGGAAAAATCTGTGAAAAAGAAATTTATATTTATTTCATGCATTGATCATGAAGAAGCAGCAATATGATTCCTTTATAGTAGCCTAGTATAATCAGTATGATTGCTTCATAATGGCCTAGCCTATACACAATGAATGACTCCATTATAAAATTTGTATGGTGTACAGTATTACAGTCAAATTCATAACACAGTATTGGAAAGTTTACATTTTTAAAAAACCTCTTGCCCATGACAATAAGCTGATACATAGTTTCTTCAGTTTTGGGAGAGTGGTATACTGTACTGTAATATGATTCTTTGAAAACAAAGTTATAAATGGTAAGAAAACTAACACATTATTAATTTTATAGTAAATATCACTCACATTATGCCTATATGATCTCCATATCTCCATATTTTTTAGGTATTCATGACATCTAACTTTTTCTTAATTATTTCTATATTTCTAGGCTATGTGTTTTATCTGCAAGTTTTTTCAAATTGTCACAAACCTCCAAAAAGCTTTCCAATGTATTTGTTAAAAAAAAAATCCACACATATGTGGACCCATGCAGTTCAACCCTATGTTGTGCACGGGTCACCTGTACATACAAGTTATCTAGGAAAGAAAGATGGTAAAATTATCTAATCAAAAGGAATAGCACGGAACCAAAACATGGAGACACGAAAGGTGATGGTGATGTAGTAATTATGAGTTTAGAGAGCCACATATATCATTCTTCAAGAAGAAAAAAAGAAGGTGAGGAGAGAGGAGGGATTAAGAGAAAGAAAAAAAGATAAGGGATTCGGAAGTGAAGAAAACATGTCACATCTATTCATAAAACCACAAGTTTAGGTAACTACATATTAAAGGACCAAGCACGTAACTTAGCTGTGATTCATTTTCAGTAATGTCCGTTTAGACAGGGTAGGGAAAATAAAAGCAGAGAAAATTTGTTTTTAAAATGGCATCTTCTCGAAATGCAATCTCTTTCATTCTCTCATGCTATACTTGGGGATGAAGCTCAGCCAGTGCCCATTAAGAATATGCTGCTAAGGAGGCCTACTGTAGTATCTGGAAGCTCTCTTAGGTCAAACACTAAGGAAGTGAACTTACAGTCCCCAGTACCGGTATCTTCCTTAGACAGATGTATACAAATCCAGACCTGTTAAAACATAGAACCACTGGCAGAAGTCCCAACTGGTAATTACAGAAGAACTTGAGATTGCACAGATATAAATTAGCTATTCCTCTCATGCCTCAGGCTTCTCCACAAATGAAGGTCATAAACCCATTGGTTCTTTTACACAGTACTGTAATGACGGAAACCTGTGTGTTCTTGAACTGTAATGATGGGTTGTTATTACCACACTACCACTACCGATATTTGCTTTCTTGTAATTGTTTTACTTTCAACAGTCAAAAGACTTTTTCCCATATATTGTGTTTGTACTCATATGCCTCACAGCCCTGAAAGAAGGCAGGATCTTTCTTTTAAATAATATTTGTGGTGCATAGACATGGATAAACACAACATCTTGCATTCCAAGTATGGTAAAAATCAAGCTTTCTTATTAAAACAGCCTCTGTCCACTTTGAGGATAAGAAAAGTAGTCAGTTCATTTGGCCAGATTTAATCAAAGTAAAGTTGAATTAAGGGTAAAGTTGTTGAGCTAATCACTTATTGGGAGAGTCTTGAGAAGAAAAAGGACAAATAATTTTTTTTTTTCTCCATAGGTTTGGCATGTTACATTTAGCAAATTCTGTATTCCCATATATGTGGGTCTATTTGGAGAATGTTCTGTTTCATTGGTCTGTTTATTCATGCTCTAGAGCCATGGTATGTTAAAATTTGAGCCCAATAATATGTAATAATTACTCCTATTATAACATGATTTTTTTTTTCAGAGAACCTTTGCTCTTTATTTTTGTGTAAAATTTTGCATTCACCCTGAATTATGTACAATAATAAGAGTGGTAAGCTTGCTTCTTTATGACTGGAGTAGTGATACTCCCTGAGGTGATCAAAATTAAGAATAAATTTTTTGATTTGGGCATTACTCTACTCTGGGACTATGTAACTATTTCATCTAAAAATAGAATCAGATGGAAGATTTTCTGTTTGTGCTTAGAAGGCAGTGTCTATTTTTCCCCAGCCTTACTTAGATATAATTGACAAAACATTGTGCAAGTTTAAGATGTACAACCGA